CCCATGTATTAATAATAAATTAATCAATAATCACACATAAAGTTAGGAAGACCGTTTGTTCTTCCTTGTAATGACCCCACAAAACATTATGTTTACAAGTTTATTCTTTTTTTTTTTTCATCAGATCCAAGGAACAAAAAACCAAACCGAATATTAAACCGGTCAAGAGTCACTGGTCAGACCAAGGGTCTGACTGAGGTCGGACCAGTAATATTAAAATAATACAATTTAATTCATAACATTAAAATAGAACAAAATTTATAAATAATAATCAGTCCAAAAAAGATAAGAAGTTACAAACTACATATCTCAGCCAGTGAAGAAACTCGAAAGGCGGAGGCAATCCGGTGAAAGGCAGAAAGCAAAGCAGAAAGGCAAAACTCTCAAGTAACTTTGAGTGTTCAGTAGCTGAACTTCAGCTAGAGATTTTTATCTGCCCTCACTTCCCATTTCCCAATCCCTCTCGGCTAGTGGAGACAAGCAGAAATCAGAGATATTTATCAATTTATTCCTAAAATCACAACCTAGCTAAAAGGGAGGGAATGTTTTTCGAGCTTACCCAATACGCCAAAACTGATATGATTGATTGAATTTGAACCAAGAAATTGAACCAAGCAAGCAGTGAAATCTAGGGTTTGGAGAGGTGACCACTGTGCCTCCTCTGTCTCCACTCTCCACGACGCAGGACAGATAAACCACCGCACCTCCGTCTCCACTACAAGTTGACCACCACGCCACTGTCTCCACTGTTCACGGCAACTTGATGGTGCTACAAGGGATTTGGGGCAGGGAGAACAGTCGACTAGAACGAACTCAACGAAGAAGGGAATGGGAATCTTGGTCAACCACCGTGCCTCCGTCTCCACTACAAGTTGACCACCACACCGCTGTCTGCACTCTCACGGCAACTCGACGGCGATGCAAGGGATTTGGGGTAGGGAGAACGGTCGAGCTCAATGAAGATGGAAATGGGATTCTGGCTAGGAGATAGGGATCGAGGGAATTGAACAATAGTGTTGCAATTTTTTTTTTTAATAGTGAATGACGTCGTTTTGGATATTGGGTAGGAAAAAATTAAACCGATCAACCCCCCAAACCAGGCGGTTGACCGATTTAATACCAACTTGACCAGTTAATTACTGGTTCTATAGGTGATTGATTTTCTCCTTAAACTAGACCGGACTGGAGATCGATTTTCTGATTGAGCCAATTAGTCCAGTCCAGTTTTTTTGTACCTGTCAATATTTTTTCCTTGATGAGGTCTTTTCATTTGTAATTTTTCTATTATGTGGCATTACTTCTAATTTAATTCTTATGATTTAATATTTTAAATTCCTTTAAAAATTAAATTATTTTTATTATTAAATTTTTATCAATATTTTATCAAACATATTTATAATTTACCTCAATTTGTTGCTCATATTTTTCAGTTTCGTTAGTATCGATCATTTGTTTTAAAATACGAAAATAATATATATTTAGTCATACTGTAAATAATAATAAAGTATTATCTTTAAAAAAAATATTCTTTCATTTCTAAATGTAAGACCCATTTATACTATGAAATGTGTCTTACATTTACGATTAGAGGAGTAATAAATAAGAATTTACACAGAATATGATGTAATTCATAAGATTTATTTTTTTATTTATATGTTTGATTTTGACATGGTATTTTTGTTTTATGCTATCTTTAAATTTTCATATTTTTTTGGAAAAGTTTCAGGAAAAAAAAAACCCTCAAGTTAATATTTTTCAATTCAGACATTTAACACTTAACACTTAAAATGGCATAGTGGGAAATAAAATCAAAGCGCAATTTTGAAATTAAAAAAATGACAAAAATGCCCATTTGTGAATAACAATTTACTTGGAAATAACAAGTCTTTATTGTGAAATAACAAGTCTCGATTTGGGATCAATAATACGTTTTTTTTCTAAATACATAATATGTGAATCAATTAAAAATAACAATAATTCATCTAAAAATAACATATCGTTATTGTGAAATTAAAATCTTGATTTGAGATTAACAACACATTTTTTCTTGATACATAACATATGAAATAACATGTAATTATTAAAAATAATAACAATTCATCTGAGAATAACAAGTTTTAATTGTGAAATTATAAGTCTCGATTTAGAATTAACAACACATTTTCTCAATGGGATTAACAAAGGTCATTTTTGTCATTTTTCTTGAATTTTGAAATTTCAATTTGGGTTTACTTCCTTCTCTGTTATTTTTAAAATGTTACGTGCTTAAATTAAAAAAAAAAACTAATTTCAGGTTTCTTCCTTTTTTTAAAGAAACCTTTTTACAAACACGAGGGAAAAGTTATAATGAATTATTTTTGGGGGGGGGGGGGACGCAATAAAGGTTAATGACAGGTGATTATGCAACGATTCTAACGACTTCCAAACAGTTACTTGGGTCCAAGCCAATGACATCAATCATTTGAGCACCTTCTTTCATTTTCTGTGTCTTTTTAATTTTTGTCGCTTTTCCTGCCTTTTTGTCGTGACAGATGGCGAGTGGATCAAATAGGCGTTGCTGCCGTAGCTGATGAACTTGCCTTGATGTACCAAAAAAAAAAACGACTAATATGTGTATATGACATCCATATTGTCTAAGCTCAAATAAGTAGCCACTAAATGACATAAAATAGTCCTGAACTTTGAACCATATTCAAATAATTTCTTAACATTTAAAATTTAATAATCAACTCACTTACACTTTCAGTTTGAATAAATCCCATCAATTATACACCCCTTAAATAATTTTTTTTTTGTGTATATAACATTTTCAAGTTGAGTTACATGCATATAAGCTCTCTAAATTTTAATATGTGTGTGTGTGGATAAGTAATGAACAAAACTACTAATATGTGTAAGAGTTTAGGAAGATTTATTGTAAAACTATAAAGTTTAAGGAAGGTAAATATAGCATGAAGTTCATGAAGGTTATATTATTTCTCTTTAAACAAATAAATAAACACAATAAAATAAAGTGAAGTCTTATATCATAGAAGGAACCTTTTATATTCAGGAACAAAGAAAAAAAAAATCAGACCAAGCCGACCGGTTCAACAAAAAAATTGGTGAACCAACTAGCGGTTTCGTTTAGTTTGAGTGTTGAACCGGTCAAAAATTGAATTGGCATTAACTCAATCAAACCGAAGTGAATTAGTAAAAACTAGTGATGAATCAGTTTGGGATTATATTGCTATTGATTCTATTTTTTCTCATTCAACTCCTAGTATCTCAATCACTCTAGATTTGAATGAATTTTAATGATGATTTTAGTATCAATGATTATTGATTTTAATTATTAAAAAATCATAAAAATCAAAATTCTCAATATTGTTGTACTTTGTTATTATTACAATCAAACTATTGTTGTGTTTTTTTGTATTTTGTTATTAGTGATTATTAATGTTATTGTATTTTGTTATTTTCAATTAAATTATATTATTTTAATATGGCCAGTTTGATCCTTAGTTAATCCTGGTTTGACCTACTGATTTTTGAATCACTATGTCAAATGGTTTAGTGTCGGTAACTTTCTTGTTTGTAGGATCATGAGTTTGCTTCTTCAATACGAAGAAACAGTCCGTGTCTTGAGCAAGATTCCTAGAAACTCAACTTCATGGTATCATTTTAATGATGATGTTACAAATGACATATAGCATAGGAATAAGAGAACTTAATCAATTGAAAAAATCTAATGTCCGCCAAGCTGATACCAAGTTCACAAGTACTCATATTTTCCTTTCAAATTAAAGGCCGTGAGACTCCACAATAGTTTGATGATTTACAAAAAGCTTTGGAATATTTTAGAATGTTGTGTGTAGAGCTGATAATGTGGGCTGGCAGTGCGGATGCGGGCCAGCCTGCAGCGGTGCGAGTTGGGGCTAGCCTAAATATTTTTTTAAAAAAAAATTATTATTATTTATATAAGTTGAGTTTAGTTTGAAATTTTGAAATTAGACTTGGAGTTTTAAACTTGAGTAGTGAGTTATAATAAAATAATATGAGGATTAATTTATAATTTGAGAAGATATTTTAGAAATTCTAACACATATTTTTTCTAAATAATTAATTTAACTATTTTTCTTATCCAAATTAATTAACTAAATCTTTTATGTGTATATTACATATGCAATTACATGAATGAAGAGATGTCAATGTGGAATTTGAGAGTCAAAATCCTACAATTATGTTGTATGATATATTGAAAATTGTATTAAAAAAATAAATAAAAAAAAAAAAGCAATCCACAACGGAGCGGGTTGAAAACGGTACGGGCTGGACTAGCCCTCACCTCCAGCCCGCACCTTGGGACATTGGCATTTTGCCAACCCAAGCCCGTCATTTTTGGCAAGTTGACAGACTGAACCCGTATTACCGGCTCTAGTTGTGTGGGATTCTTTGGAATAATTTTCCCTAAAATTTATAAATCGTACATGTTAGTATTCTAGATTTCTAGTTCTACACTTGTGGCGAATGATGTGCTAAAGATGGCAGACACAATTTGACGGTGATGACATGGCAAATGTTAGTGATCCGTTGTTGAAGGAAAGGTTTTTCAGGTAAAAAAGAGAATCAGAGACCCAAAAGATAAAACCAAAGTCTCAAATGACAAGGAAATAGCACGAATTTTATTGTCATTTATTGCATTAAAGCTTACTGAGATGTTTTTGGTAATTACATTCCTTCATTCCTTGGAACTGCACAGTGATTTTCCCTGTTTTGTTTTTATGTTAACAATGACTCTCCTAAAAATGTTCTTAGCCCATGTCGGCCCAGTGAATCTGATCCAACCTCACTATTTTGGTGGTCAAATTGGGCGCAAAAAAATAACGCCACCAAGCTGAGCCACTAAATCAACCCAAGAAAGCTACTGCCTGGCTGGCACAAGCTGACCAGCTTGCTCACTAGCAGGCCCAAGGTATCCTTTTGAGTTACAGAAGCTGTAGATCAACCAGCACAAAGTCTGGGGAACCAAAATGCAGTCAAAACCATAAGTAATTAATTCAAGTTATTTATATACATTCATTTCTGGAGATCAAATCCCTGGGTTCATAAATGCATCTAGACATACCAACCAGTGCCTGGAAAAGAAGCCAACATCTAAAGAGCAATTCTGGTACAATCCAAAGGTTAAAAACTGCATTGAATAATTCCCATTGTACCTCGGTTTGTAAAGACAATGCAACTTGGTCACAACTCACAACACTATGACTCTAAGCCGGCAGGCCCAGATGAGCATAAAATTGAGCTTCCGTTTCCAGCACAGCATGAATTCAGCAAATTTCAACCTTTTTCGAACGTCTTATATATGTAAAATAACTACTGTGAAGGGACCACCACTTGCTGATCATCATCTGTGCCAAAATACCGGTCCCCAAACTCGCCCATACCCGGTACAACACGGAAGTCTTTATTCAGGCCCAACTCGATCTCAGATGTCACAATCTTTATTCTGGGAAAGGCTTTGCAGACCACATGCACACCTTTGGGCGCCTGGCAAAATGAGAACTATAATTACTACGGCAAAAGAAAGAAAGCACGAGAGGAGGAAAATATGATGGTGAGAGAACAATTAAACACAGCAGGATCTTACCGATATGAGGTTTAGAAATATAATGTTGGACTCTGGAACACCCTTTTTTATAAGTAAAGAAATTGCTTGAACAGCCGAATTTCCTGCAGAAGACATTGTTCATACATTTACAGAGATGACGAACCAAATAGGGGGGGAAAAACCATACTTGTCTTTCGTAGATTATGTTGACAGCAGCGGAACAGTAAATAAATGACAAAGTTTCTAACTCATCTTTTTTGGAATGGGAATACCTCAAACCCAATTGTAACTCAAAAGCAGCTAAGAAATACAAACGCAATGAGAATGACAAACCTGTGCCTAGGATGGGATCCAACAGTAACACGTGCCTATCAGAGATATCGTTAGGCAATTTTTCATATATCAGCTGCCCAATATTAAATATCGGAAGTCAGGGATCATGAGATTTGATAAACATAGAAATGTATCCAAAGTATACAGAAGATGCTGATAAAGTGCACACACCTGCTGACTGTTGTCCCCTTCCCCTTCCCTATGAATAAGAATTTTGCCAATCTTGATACCTTTACAGCATGCTCTTAAGGCATTCTCCATACTCTCCCCACTGCCAATATATCAACAGATATCAACACAAGGACAGACTATTTTCCAAACAACAACCTTTCAGGAAAAATGTCAGCACATAAAGGAAGGAGAAAAAAGGACTCATTGCTGAAGACTTACAAAACAGGATATTACTAAATACTTATTATGTATAAAAAATAAAAATAAAAACAACTAACAGCAAAGACTAAACAAATGATCTTTCTTTTTATTCATTTCGGTAACTTATGGATGACCAAGAGAAGACATTTTGATATTGACATAATCAGAAGTAAAATAACATCTTAATTGTTGAGTGTTCGGCTTCGAATATAGGGCTAACTGATACCTCCTGACTACAGAGACTCCACATAACCTCTTACAGAAATCGACACCAGTGTACACAGACCCTGCAGTTAATATGAATACACAATGAAGGTCAAGAATAAACAATCATAATAACAAGACTCGACCCTCAAATAAACTTGTTCTCTTTAGTAGATAACGGAACAACAGTGATAGTTAAATGAAGATGGGCAGGCAAGCCCATTGCTCAGTACAGTAACTGCTACAACCAAAATCATGAGGAAGAATGCATCTTAAGTACAACCACAAGATGCGGCTTTGATTCCCATATGAAGTTTCCCTGAAGTAGAAATATTGTGATCATATTACATCATTCCACCATATCCAAGTAGAATAGGCGTCTAGCATAAAAATAAATAGCTTGGCTATTGAGAGTATTGACATCCCGGAATCGACATTTGCTGCAAATGCTAATTTATGGTTTGATACAAAAACTATAACTGTGGGACTTTGTACCCCGCTAAAAACATGTATTCTGAGTAACTCAGCTGCTATCCAGATCAGCAACTGAAATGGCCAGTGGTTGAGAAAACATTTTAAAGAACAACTGAAAAAAAGACACTAAGTAAAAGGAAGGCAGAACCTAAACCATAAAACATTAACCAAACACCTATTTGGTCGGTGGTCACACACGCAGGCACGCAAAGAACATTACTTATGACAATAGAGTTACAAGGGAGCAACAAATAGAACAGCTTACCAGTCGGAGTGATTACTTGTTTTTCTGTAAATGGTAAATGTCCCAGGCCATGTTCAACAACCTGGTCAAGTGCGGGAATTATAATCAGTAATAATTTACCCCCAAAAAAGTCATGCCGCCACTAAATTAAGAAATAAAGAAATGAAACTGTGTACACCTACCAGACGAATCAAACGGTCAGAATAAAATACAAAATCATGTGTTTTTATTTCAGAATCACGTATCAGGGTATGCATACCCCGTATCTGCATAATAAGAATTACAATGCTGATTCAACCATTGTAAGAAACCAGTGTTTGGAGGTCCAAATGGAGGGGCAAAGCAAGAAAAGAAACTCAAAAATAGTGAGAAGTGATACCTGAAAAGTTGACTGAATAACATAAAGGTTAGGATATATTTTACATAGATCATGCTGACCAAGTTTTGTGCGGATATGCTGTACAATTAAATCAATTGCTACATGATTGTCTCCTCCACGGGGAATAATGATATCGGCATACTTCTTTGTTGGAAGAATAAAGTCATCAAAAGCTGGCTTTACAAATTTAGAATACTGCATCAAATAAAGTCAGCTATCAGAATTTATGAAATGCATAAAACATCAACATCTGATAAGGAAGACTTCAGGCCATTGACATTTATAACCATATGCATTAAAATTTCCTAATAATCCAAATCCACAAAACTGAATAATTTGTGTTCTCTTACCAAGGATCTTTTACTATAACTAATAAGCAGCATTAAACTAAATTACTCAATTCTTAACATTGCTGTGTCTTGAAACGCAGGAAAATTTAAGAATAATTATAAATAAATGAATGAATGATAAAATAAAATAGTCTTCATGGTATTGCAACTGATGTGACTAAAAGTTACTACCTGATCAAGCACAGCACCAATATCCCGACCCTTCTGAACTGTATCACGCTTGATCCTCCTAGCCAGTCGAACATCAGCATCTGCACCAAAAGCAAGAATCAGACAACGGAAGAAAGAATAATGCTAGAGAAAACATGAAGTATGGTAATTGTCAAACTATATAGGACTAATAATTAAAAAAGGACCTGTGTCAACAAATATCTTCATATTCATCAACTCCCGAACACGAGGATCATGGAAAATAAGAATTCCTTCCAAAATGATTACATCAGAAGGGTTTACCTGCAAAAACAAATTTAAGTACAAACCAACATCCACATGTCAAGCATGAGAACCAACCAGAAGTCATTGGTGTTAAGTATGCAAATAACAAACTCTTCTATGCCATACTATCAAGAAACCAATTGTAAAAGGTATTAGTACATTGACTCCATCAAAATGTAACATATGCACTAAAAGCATTGTTCTAGGACAATATCCACATTGCAGGTACAGAAGACCAAATTCAATCTAAAAGCCTTCAGATGGGGTAAAATTGCAATGAAAAATGTGGAAGTTGAAAATATACCCGTCTAGCGGGCAAAGCATCCCTTTTATAACTCTTGAAGTCATAATTTGGAATATCGACAGCTTGTCCATGCTTCAATTTGTCCATAACTTCAAGCAATTGCTCAGTATCAAAAGCATCTGTAAGATATAAGCAGCATTGTCAGATAAGTATCGAACTCAACCAGCAATACAGCCATCATTCACATTTGCAATAGTAAGCTGGGGAAAAATGCATTTCACCCTCCTAAATAGAGGACTAGGTAAAATTTTAGCGCATCAACTTTAGACTTTTGCAATGTACATCCCTCTTATTTAAAGTAACATAAAAAGGTGTTTGTGTTTTCTCTAATGAATAGTCTTTTTTTTTTTTTTTTTACTTTGAAGTTGATATATTAAAGTAGTTAGACCTTAGTTTGAGGGCTAAAAGCCAGCATACTATAACCATGCACATTTAGCCACAAATTTTGCTAGCTGAGCGCTAAGTATTACTTTATGGACGAGGAGATTTTCTTTCTGATTTGTCCTTCAAAGAATGAGCTTTATTTCAATTATGTGTCAAACCACTTAAACGCCAATTTTGGAAGTCTGCTCTCCTCTATCTATAATCATAAAAAGAACCCAAAGGAAGTTGGAGTTGAAAGCTGAATTATTTCTCAAAAATACTCAGAATCCATTAGCAAGATCATGGAAACACAGTACAACTGCATTGAAGTCTCCTAGATTATATAAGGATCTAGAAATTTGTAAATGAAAATAATATTGTTGGATTTAATTTATCAAGATTAATTTTTCCCAAGCACTATCCTTGATATTATTAAATAATTCTGTAAATGATAATAATGTCACAGGGACTCATCAAATGAAACATAGAAGTTCCACGTTAAAAATTATACAAGTCTAACAAAACCAGAGAAAAAGATGACTAGTATGTGACAAAATTACTTAACAATTATTTATAAAAATTCTTCAAGGCAATAAATTAAATTTAACAGAGTAAGAAAGCATTTCAATATAACACTATAAAGTACCAAGATAAAGTTGTAAGAAGCTAGTGATAGAGAATACTAAGTCAAGTTCATACTGACCAGGATGATCAAAGTTGTAATCTTGTACTCTAGTGAGTTCCTCCTCCGTCAAATTATGATAGAAAGAATCCTGTCATATTAAATTCGGTAATAAACGGATCCCTATCAGCTCAAATCCTACAAAACGGAGAACGAAGACAGGATGGATGGAAGGAAAAAGTGATGCAATATGAATAACAAAAAGAAAAAATTAAAGAAAAGAAAAAGGGCAAACATACGTGACATCAATAACAAAAGAAAATAAATCCTACATTCTTTTCCAGTTTTTTGGCCAAAAACAACAACTCTAACATCTTCGGCTTTAATAAATTTGAGGGAAAAGTTGAGAGAATGTAAATATCTATTAAGAGGTAAGAAGGAAAGTAAGATAGAACATTAAAACTAACTGAGTAAAATCAGAGATGAAATGCTGAAATTTTTCCACTTAGTGTTATAATGATGGTCGAAAACAACAAGAACAACAAGAAGCTTCATTTGACTAAGTAGGATGAAGTACATTAATGCAATACACCATTGTGTCTCATGAACGACCAACTCTTTGAATATATTAGTCACCAAAAAGTCTTGTCCAATTTGGACAAATAAAAAAGTCTTGTCCAATAATTTCTGAGTGTTCTAGTTGGTCTTCCCCTATCTCTCTCAACAAAACTCAATACTATCTATTCAAACCTCCTCACCAGTGTCTCCATCAACTTTTTCTGCAAATGTCCGAACCACCTAAACAATTTTATACCGTCTTCCCCTCCATAGATGCCACCCTTTTCCTCATATATGGTCAATATGAATCCTATATTTTTCAGCCACACATCCATCTTAACATCCTCATCCTTGCTACCCTAACTTTTTGTTCTTGTTGTCCCTTTAACATCACACATTCACTACCATATAGCATTGCCAATCTTATAAAACATTTTGTTATATGGAAGGTCAAAACCAAGAAAATGAAATCCAAAGGGTACAGAGAAAGGGGAGAGAAGAGAAAAAGATGCTGATATGGCTTTAAGCACATAAGGTAGCTGATTGCCTCAAAGATCAGGCATTTGATCAAGATAAGCAATAAATTGACTATGAATAGATCAATAGAGAAAATTTATGACCTGATTAACAACTACAACTCGTTGGTCATGAAGTTGCTGAATAATCATATTACAAACTTCAGTTTTCCCAGCTGCAGCTCCACCAGCAACACCTACCATAAACCAAAATCATAAAAAGTGAACTAATTAATAATTCATTAACTAAGCAATTACAAGCATTAAAACTAAAGAAACGATTGATTCTTACAAACTCATTATGCATGACAAAATTTTTTGAAAATTAGATCAATTTCAAATCTCAAGAAATCTTCAACACAAACAGTCGAAGAAGCTATTTTGTGGATATAAAAGCTAATGACATTTAATTGTTGACAAAATTAATTATCATGCATGAGTAATTATACCAGCACTTGGATGTTAGAAATTACATTAGCATAATAAGTAATCATCATTTTAAACTAATATTAGAGTCTACACAAATTTGCAATCTGATTTGGTCATTTGTCTCTGGCAGAGCAAATGTTTGGGAAATTTGATTGCTTCAATCACCAGAACACAAGGAAGATTTAATAGTATGTCATAACAGACAACTTCAGGACTCCTTTAAGATCTGAAACCATATCCATTGGACATAATGCATAGTTCATCACATTTTTTTGCCAAAACAGAACAACCCTGTCCACCATGGGTAGAATCTGGGATCTCAACGTATAGAAAACAAACCAATAAGGCAGGAATTTTTGCTTGCCCTATTAGAAGTCAGACCCACTAAATACAAGAGGAATTAAATGTTCACCGCCATCAATTGCAGCACCAAAACCAGGTATTTGATTTATTTTATGGCAACACAGGAAACTTGTCATGCAAAAACACACCTATGACAAACGGTTGATTATACATGTGGTCAGCCACAGAAGTTGTTGGAGGCTCTGTTCCAGCATTTATTTTCTCTAAAGGATCCATATGAAATCCAGAAAAATGAACCCCGGAGGACGACTCTATTAAGTCTACAACAGATTTAGTAGCCATTGGCAAAGACCTGAAAAATGTCAGCAGAAATTCATAAATAAAGAAATTGATAGCAGAAATAAATGTTCCAATAAGTACAGTAAAAGCACTAGATATGGAAGAAGATAAACGATAAAAGGAGAAAAAGGTGACACACTCTTGGTCTTTAGGGTGCATTTTATAAGAGTTGGTTGATACAGACAATGGAATACTCCTTCTGTGTCTGGCCCTACTCTGATTTTTTTTTTTTTTTGAATTTTTTTTCCCAGGGGGAAGGGGGTGTTTTGCGAATAACGTATGGCCTAAGACTCTGGTCAGATATGGCCGCTCAGCCTTTGAAGTCATGCCAAGTGAAGCTCAAAGGGGTCTGTGGGGCCTGCAGTTGATATCTTTCTCAATAAACTGTAAACGTAACTACACAAAAATACGAAGTTCTCCATCAAAGGAGACGTTCTTTTCTTTGCCACTATGATCCTTCGGTCGGTGGATTAAAGATAAGACATCCATTCCTAACAACTTCGCCAAACAACCGTCTCATTGGAGCCATCTGATGATAGGAAATTTGGCACGTGACAACCCTTCAAGTAAGTCCACGATGCTTCTGGCTCCCACCGCAACCAGAACAAGACCAAAAGGATGACTTCTTTAGGCTCATAAGCATGATGCACGCAGCATAGCCAATCCTCTTCCTTTTCTCAAATCCTCCCCAGTACCGTCAAGGCAAAAATTCAAACCCAATTGTTCGATCCTGACAACCAACTGAGCTAACAGGCAACCCAGCTTGGTCTACACCAGCTTCATGCAATTAAACAGAATGAAGTAAAGCAGCTCAAAGACGAAATCATGGACACAAAACAAGCTGGTACATCAGCAAAATCCACAATCACATCATGATCAAAAACAAAAGAGAAGGCAAGAAATACACTTAAAACAGCGATTCAATTAAAGCGAAGAGCATAATCAAAGCAATGCACAAGAGTACACACGAATTGGTGATGGAATGCCAATAGGAAGTAGGGAATGCTGATTGTGAGTTATACCCAATACCTGAAAATCACTTCAGAATTGAATTGGAAAAGCAGAAGAGAGGGAAAAGAGAAAGAGAGAGGAGCGGTGAGCAGAATCAAGACAGGAGAGAAGAGCAAAAGCAAAATGCAATTCGATTATAGGTAGAACCAGAAGAGTCTGAAATGAAGATAGACACGAGAGATGCAGTGGCGCTCCTGTATATATAGCATGGAGGGTAGAGGACGCTTGGCTTGGAAAATGGCCCTCCTTTTCGGCTGAAATTACGTCGTTATGCCACTGTAGTTGGAAGAAGAAATACTGAAGTAGCATAAATTAATTAATTAAGTCCTTAATGTGGGTGCCGCGTGCACATAATGCAACCAAAAGGATAAATATGAGCGCATTTAAAATTTAATGTATGCATGTTCAGTTATATAATTAAATGTATCTTCTTGCTGACAAAAAAAAAATTAAATGTATCTTCTACTTTCCATTTACAATTAAAAAAATCCTTACAAAAAATAATTAAGGATTAATATAATTGTTGGTCTTTTAAGTTTGTTTTTATTTTAGTTTTAATTCTTCAAATTTTAAACTATAAGTTTTAGTCCCTAAAAGGGTAAAATAGTCTAATTTTTTATTAGATTATAAGGACCAATATTATAGATGAAAAGAAACTTGAGGGATCAAAACCTATTGTTGGAAATTTAAGAAACCAAAACCAAAATGAAGATAAACTTGAGAGAATAAAGTTTGTATTATCCTAATAATTTAAAAAAAAATACTCCCTCTTATCCTTATTGTTTCTATATCTGATTCAAAATTTAAATGACTTGAAAAGTAATTAATACACATGTTTGTCAATTTTTTTAAAATTAATTTTTTGCTAACCCCTACAATTAATATTTAAATATGGCTCTTTGTATTTTTTTTCTCCTTCCCAACATGATTTAATATGAGTAAAGTTAAAAAAATTTAAACAATTGACAGATCAAATGAGTTAATTACTCTTATTTTTTTTAATTATGATAAATTAGTTATATTGGCTTGTATTGTAAATATGAGGCAGTAGATCTTATACTTTCTCCGGTCTTTTTTTATAAAATATCAAAATTGAAATTGATTTAGCCTTTTTTACTATATTCTATTTAGAGTCATCTAAGCATTAAATACATTTTTTTATCAATTTTGCTTCTAGTTAATTTTTTTTATTCTCTATCCTTATTTTTTTTCTCATATTATATTTTCTTTTTTTATCTCATTATTAGTACTTTTCTCCCTTATTTGATGCTTTATTTTATAATGACATACTTGGAAAAAAAATCAATGTTTACAGATTTATTATTACTATTAACTATTTTATTCTCTTAAACCGCTTAATTTAATGAAAAGTATTTTCTTAGCTAAGGGAGCATCCAAGAACTTTTTCTCGCAGGAAGAGATAGATTGGGGGGACCATCGAGTGATGCAACCGCATCCAGTCGACATTAAAGTCTTCTTTACACATAACATAAATTTTGACTCCATTTCATCGCTTGTAGAAGTTTGTTCATTTTATCCGACAAGGACCCGTAAGTGCCTTTTTTTGTTTTCAAAAAAAAAATGGTAGAAAGAATTTTTCTTAATTTATTTTAATTTAAATTTTAAATAGAAGAATCAAATTCTCAAATTTTAGACTAGACGTCTAGACTTAGCTGTTCGGAACCTCTCCATTTTCATTCTCCTCCTCTTTCCTCCTCTTTCTTTTTTTAACTTTTGAATAATATATTAACAGTTAAGATTTAAACTTTTTAAAAATATTATTAAAATACTAAATTATAAAAATAAATAAATAATAAATTAAAAAATATATTAAATTTTAATTCTAATGCTATGCAAATACACTAAATATTTTTTAAAAAATTATAAATAGTTTATAAAAAAATAAAAATCTGAACCGTTAAAATATATTAATTTATAATTAAAAAAAACAGAAAATAGGAAGGAAACAGCGGAAGTTTCAAACTAGACTTGTGAGAAGGAAAAAGCAAAGTCTCTTTGATAACATCACTGAAGGATAAGAGATTGATTTTGAGTTTTGACTCGAGTAGTTCATTTTTTTAAAAAAGAAAAACAAATCAATATATAGTTGATTTATCGTTTTTTTATTTATTTCACTTGAAATGTTAGTTCTTTTATTTTAAAAATGTTTAGAAGGGCAAGCCTAAACAGTGTTGCTTTTGTTGAATTGGATTTAACAGTATTAAACTCATGACTCGTAAGATGATCAGGGGAAAAAATAAAAAATAAAAAGGCCTGGTTACCTAGAAAAAAATTAATACCTCCGGTTTTTAATATAAAACTCAATCGACTAATTTGATGAGATTAAAAAAAATCACTAAATTACTTAACTATAACATGTGATACATGATCTTACTAAAATACTTATGTAGATCATTAAATTATTATATTAATTTATAAGTTAGGTAAATTAGTTTAAAAAAATAATAAATATAAATAGTTTAAAGTAATTTAGTAACTTACTTAATTTCTTCATATTAGTCAATTGAGTCTTATATTAAAAATTAGAAGCAACTTAAAACTATCTTTTTAAAAATTTGATCTGATTAAAGAACAGGAAAAGAACTCTCGCTTCCTTAAAACAACAGCATCAGTAAAAGAGATAAGGGCATCAAAAAAATATTAAAGTTTTGGATCTTAGCAAAATTAACATCTAAAAGTTCTTTGAAGTATTTTTCAAAATATAAAGAGTAATATTTTAGAAAGATCAAATAGAAGGGGATGAGAAATCATAAAAATAAACTTCATAAACTAAAATCAAAGCGCCATTGAATTAAAAAATTTATTCTGGTATTTTCCCAAAAAAATAACTATTTTTTATTTTAATTTTTCTGGTCAAAAAATTCTATTTAAATTTTGTACTACTATCTCCCATGTCGGCAGCGGAGCTGTGGGGCTAGGCAGCTTGTGTTGTCTGCCTCAAAAGTCTATCAGATATTTCAGAATCCACCGTGGCGCTGATTCATATATTTCAGCATTGAGGCCCACTTTGTTCATATATTTCTATTTTATTTACATTTCACTATTCTTCAAATTTATACATCCAAATGCATAACTTATTTAGTATTATCTTTCTTAAAACATTTTTACTAATTAAATTTATTAGCTATAACTATCATTATTATAAAATTATCTTGAAAAATTAGATAAATATGAGAGATAAGTGAATTGAAAAATTATACTTATGACTGAAATAAAATCAAATGAACTTTTATATTAAAAATAGGAAGTAGTATATAGTCAGCGTTTTCAGCCCTACAAATCTTATTTCTTGGATGTACCTACCCAACACCCTAGTTTTTTTAGTGATTTAATTTTACTCCAAATCTTTTTTTTAATGTAATTTTACAATTTTTTGTGTAATTTTACTTATGATTTCTTTTTATTTCGGTACAATCATGTGAAAGATTGGACCAAAATAAAAAGATTATAGGTAAAATTGTAAAAAAAAAAAATCATGTGTAATAGTGTATTACTAAAAAGATCAATATGCTAAATGCATTTAAAAAAATAAGATTAAAGATAAAATTGTGTGAAAAAAATTAGCTAGCTAGGCAAATAAAATATACGACTCTAGTCCTTATTATTTGTTATTTATAGAAAAGGATTTTGGTTTTTTTTTCAGTTGTTACTTGTACCTTTTTTAATATTTCATTTCTAATTATGCCCCTATTAATTATAGTACAGATAAAGAGAAGAGGAATAAATGAGAGAAAATATATTAGTATTTAATGTTATCCTTAACAAGAAAAACAGTAAAAAAATTTGATAGTAAGGAATTGGAGGTTGAGAATTGGAAGTGGAACTGAGGACCTGTTTAGAACAGTTTATAAGTAAGTTATAAGCTGCTTTTTAATAGTAATTTATAGAATACGATGAAAACATGTGAGAAAAATTTTATCTCGATTTACGTAAAATATACTTATGGGATATTTCTACCACTCGGGTAAATGAGCCGAGGCCCAAAACTCATATTTTTGCCCGTTTGTAGGCATGGAGGCTGATTCCTATGGAACTCGCTTCCATCAAAATCGATGGAAGTGAGTTATTTGCCTCCCCTATGGAACTGGGTTCCATCCCCAGTTTCATGGGTCTATTTCCTCCCTTGCCCTTGTACTCTTCCACCTTCCCTCCACCAACAATAACCATGATTCTTCATAGTGACGAGGCGACAATCCTCCATAACCACGACAACGATGACCTTACACTGGCGACAGCGACCCAAACCCCTTGGTGGATGTGTTTGTGCCTCTCAATTTCTATTTATAAATCATGCCTCTCTCCCTCTAAGTCCATCAATGAACAGGAGCTTCCATAGATTTTTATGGATGAGGACGACACTGAGATAAATGAGAACGACGGTGGGATGGAGGAGGATGACAGTAGATGGTGAACAAAGCTTCAGCTTCAAATTTGCGACAGAGGAGCCTTTTGCCTTGTTTTGTGACTTCAGATTTGATTTTTTAGCCTAATCAATCTGATTTTGCATCTTGTTCATTTTTTATTGTGATCTATTTGATCTGGTTTGTGATTTCTACTACATTCGATCTGGATCTAGTTTTTTGTTATTATTGACGGTTT